AGTGAATGTATAGATCCCCATTTTCTTGACCTCTGCACTAGCTGGAGATGAATGGTCAGCTTCACGCCCTGGCCACTTTACCCCAAGGGAAAAGGCCCCCAGTACCCATTGGATAGGAGGCTGGGTGGACCCCAGAGCCAGTCTGCACAACTTGAAGAAGAGAAAATTTTGAAACTACTGGGACTTAAACTAAAGCCCCTTGCCAGTCAATATACTGACTATGCTAACCACTCTACCTGTAAAATTTAGCCAACATTTACTATCAAGCAGTAGCTTGAGCTAATGTATTTTTTATTGCTAGTGGGGTGGGACTAAGTCCCTTGCACTGTGGCCACTTCTGGCCTATTGTACCAGCCCCAGATGAGAGGTGAGGGTGATTGTGGAGCAATTGGTGGAATGAAGATTGGCAGGGGAACCGAAGTACTCAGAGAAAACCTGCCCCACTGTCACTTTGTCCAACACAAATCCCACTTGACCAGACCTGGGATTGAACCCGGGCAGCCGCGGTGGGAAGCCAGCGTCTAACCACTTGAGCTATGGTGCTTCCCTTGAGCTAATGTAACTCTATTTCCTAATCCTTCGAAACCTTTTTCACCTCCCTTAACTGCTCACACATACTGCACTGATATTAGAAATCATTACACATTATTCATCTTTAACACAGAGTACTTACATTCCACAAATATTATGAATGGAAGTTAGATATTAAAGTAAGAAAACCAAAAAAGGGACAAAAGTACAATGTTTGCAACACCACAAAACGATTTGAGCCAGTTAGTCTGTGTTGGTAACAGAAAACATTATCACTTTGTTAAAGATAAATACAAACTTACACACTGATGATAGCAGGTTGAAGATTTAAATGAAATAATAGAAATGTATCTTGCAGAAGCATAACAAAGACAATTCTGCAACAGTGCTGCATGTGCAAAATTATTATTTCTTATAGACATGATGTCCACATACTGTTATAAGAAAAGACATTACTTAAGTAAATTCTGAACTCAACTATGAAGCCCAAAATCCTGGTTCAAACCCAGTGACCCTGAAATACATACACAGTATTGAAAAGAAAATATGTTACCTCATGAACATTCTAAAACTGTGCTCTACATTTACATACACTGGTACTAAACAATAAGATGATGAAACCTGTACCTAACATGGTTCACAAACAAAATAGAGTCAGAGAGAACAGCATGCTATGCTTAAAGTCTCACATTATACACATTTCAAACTGTATTTTAATCATACTGTACTTCAATTCCACTATCTACATTAAAAGAAAGTTTCCAAATGCCAATATTTTACAAATTCCATTGAGATTTATTACAACTGTAAAAACAAAACTATTTTACTTCATGTATATACATACATAAATAATTTATTACATATAAAAGGTAATTTTTTCTTTGTGTCAATATGGAAAACCATATTTCACAGTGAAATCTACTAGATATAAAATGGTGTAAATATATTTTTGAACAGGCCATGTAAGACACAAACCTAAGAACAAGTTTTTATAAATAACTGATAACAATTAAGAATATTATAACATAAAGTTAGCTACTACCTGTAATGTAAGTATTTAAGAACAAAACATGAACCCTATTAAAAAGGTGGGGGGGGACACCTGGTTAATTACACATAAACTAGATGAGTGAACAAGGTGCATATATTTTATGGAAGCAATGGTCTACTAATACAACAGTGAGGCAGTAAAAAATATATGCATCCCTCACTGCATATTGCTAACTAAAAATCATTTTTCAACAATAACAAGCAATAAGAGTTGATGCAATTCCTGGCTGAATTTTGGGGATATGGTAATTTCTCACAAGTCACTAATGACATGGGAGAGGCATCTCTTTAACCTAGTATTTGTGATACTATTGTCAGAGATTGGTTGCATATGAATCAAACTGAATACAGTCCACTTGGAACAGTATGTACCTGTACAAAATGATAACACTGCAAGTTGACTGTTAATATCAAGTAAACACTTGACAGTTGTGTCTCCTTTTCTATTTCAAAACTGAAGTACAGAAAAATAACAATGATATGACTGACTACATTAAATGAAAATATTTCCCAAACAAAAAAAAAAATGCTCTGTAACATAAATGTGCTATTTGAAAGCATATTAATGTAAAATGTCTGCACCAGATTCATCCTCACATAAATGACAGACAGACCAACATATCACAAGAGCCTGCTTGTATACCTGTGGGCCCTCTGCTTTCTTTCTTATGCAGACACACTACCCACAAACAAAAGCTGCTTCTCTAGTCTCTCGCTGATTTAATTTGGCATGACGTATATGTGGATGCAATGAATACTCTACTATGTACCTAAGTGCAACACCAACTAACATTAATGCTACTATTCCACTTACACTATTAAATATTCACATAAATATGGCCTTTCATGGTATAACATCTGCATTCCAAGCATTTCAGCCAGTTGCTGCTCAACATGCATCATTCAACAACTTATCTGGATAGGGCTATCCAAGATATTATTCAGCCTCATAACAAGTTTTATAAGAATGTATAATGTTTATACTTCTCTTTAAGCCCTAAGTTTAACCATCACACAAATTTATGCTAAAAAATCTTCTTGCTCTTTATATCTAACTATACACTACATGTTTTAACCATAAATGGTCTTCATGTGACACAGACTAATCAGTAAAAAATATCTGTACTGTTAAATACAAATACTGCTAAAATTTAAAAATGTATAAAAGTACACTAATATACAGATATATATAATATACCTTTGACACATATTACATTATGTCATAACATCAGTTCTTGCTTTGAACACATTCTACTATATCAACTGGTCATCAGGGACACAACCCACACTACATCAACACACCAGCCCTTACCTTCAAAAACACATGCTATACCATACCAATCAACCAAACAGCAAAACACCCAAAAGATTACTCCAAATACTACAACTAACTTACAACACAAAATTATACATCAGCTTAGATTGGCCAGGAGGGCCAGGAGACACTGTACACAAAGATGAACCTACAACAGTAACTCTGTATTTCCTTCCCCCTCCTTTCTGCTGATTCTTCCTCTCTACCTACCCTACCTTCCTCCCCTTCTCCCCCTCTTCCTTTACCCTCATTTACTGCTGTCATCCAGGGCACTTACATCCCAGCAGCTGCTGGACACAGTTCTTTCCTGGCTTCCAAATGTTATTACACTGTCCAACTTCAAAATTTTGTTCAGGTGAGTGAGCTGCCATTCCTACTCTCTACTGCTGAGCAAGGCTCCAGATTTATGCTCACAATCTCCTAACCTTATTCACAGTCATCATCATCATTTCTATTCACACTACTTCTTTATTTTGTATTATTCATTTACACCCTTATTTAATCAGCCTCAATCGGCCATCTCCTTTGAATGCCTAGAATTTTGTGCTTCAATGCCTTCTCTGGCCCCAGTGTCCTGATTTACTAGGCCTGTTTTTCTTTCTGGTTCTTCCCTTTTTTGCTCCATTATTACTTGATGTGGCAAAGATCATTTATTTATGGCAGGAATGCCACTTCTCTTGTTTGTTATTATGAGGCTGCCAGATTTACTGTTAATAATTTGTGAGCATTATTTAATAAATGTTTATGTCAGACATTTGTTCCCTTGGCTGTGGTTTTCTGTATTATGTTCATTACTAACTCTAACCTCTGGGTAGCTGCTTCCTTGATACCCAGTAGTGGCGTGGCACAACACAGGTGTGTGAAGTGGCAAATTATAAAATAAAGACAAGCATAGAACTAAATAAATATCTAATAATTCAGAAATGGCAATGAATGTTTATAATGGGACAGGTACTATTAATTTTATAATTATGACCATGTAAATTAAACTAAATCTGACCTAGTTAATTATTTTCTTCAAATTTTTATGTTTCAACAAAACCTGTACTTTCAGTATAAAAATTTTTCATTGATTTGTATATGGGACCTAATGATGACCATTTATGATTGAAACACATGAAAAATAACTTCTTTTAAAGATTAGTGTGTATGATTGATAATTTTACAACTCATAACAAGTCCTGCCCAAACATTTTGCAGGTTTAATAATGCCGCTTAAATTACACAAAAGTATCAGTTCATAAAATGTTAGTATTCACATGATTAAGCCTCTACATGTTACACATCTGAAACAGCTTCAAAGCTGTGTCCAGAACAGTGCTGAATTAAATTTCTCCTCAATTTTTAGTAAACTATATTACTGGATATGAACAACATGAACCCATGTCTTATAATGTAACACCTGTGACATTAGTTTCACAGCTCTCTGTAAATATATGCCTTCCTATGTGGAAGAAAATCCCTTCAATTTTAATCCTTCATAAGGCAAAGCTCACCCAATTAACATTCTAAAAGTTGGTTATGTCCCAGGAAACACATCACATCTCCATTACAAAGATCAGTCAGTTAATGATATTTAGGTATAAAACCTCTGTTTAATTTTAAAAGCAAATCTTAGTAATACAATTTTCAGGCAAAATTTTGTGTTATGTAACATTTAGGCATTTGGTACACACAATTAAAACTGTCCTATAACTCTGCCGGATAAATTAAAATTACTATTAATCATCACCAGAGAATAATTTTCATAGTGAAAATCTGTTCATCTTTATTTTCCTCCATTTATCCTCATTATGCCCGACACTAGGGAAATTATGACCACTGCATTGTTCCCCTTGGCATACCATTTTTCTTTATTATGCTACTTTGTGGGAGTTGGTATAGTGGGGTGCTACAGGCTGGACAGCCTGGGTTCGATTCCTGACAGGGGCAAGATTTTTCTCTTCTTCATAGCATCCAAACTGGCTCTGGGGCCCACCCAGCCTTCCATCCCATGGGTACTGGGGGTGATTTCCCCGGGGCTAAAGCAGCTGGGGCATGAAGCTGACCACTCACCTCCATCTAGTGTCAAGGTCAAGAATAGTGGAACTACACCTCCACTCCCCTTTATACCTTCATGGCATAGGACTATTTTTATGCTCTGTTGTTTTAATTCCTTTTTATTATCCATATAAGTTTCACATATATATGGATCATAAAAATAAACAAGTCAACTTAAAATGCAGTGTTCAGTCATACAAGCATGTTTCGTTTCGAGAGACTTTACTTTTCAGTAGAGGTACTATAATACTGTGGTCTGATTTTCTATTGGTTCACATGTTGTGTCTCATAAACCCCAATCAGTCTTAAAACAGTAGTCAATTTTAAGAAATATGAGAACTATTATTGTCAGGCATGTATTTTTATACAGTATGACCAATTTTAAATCTTCCTTGAACAAACATGAAGTGTAGTTTTATTTAAGAACTCAATATCAACTGCTGCAGTCATTTAGTGAAAGTGATACTGGTTGGATTTTTGTACTTGAAAATGCCAAATTATGCTTTTAGGTTTAGACATACAGTAAGTACTGGAGACAAATACTTTAAAAACTGACAGCCAGCAGAAGGTGATACAGCAGCTCAATTAGTGAGTCAGGACAAAAACTAAATGAAAAGGGATCTACAACCTGCATTACTTTGTTAACTGTCAATGAGAATATGTGTGTGAACATTATACACTGGATAATAAACGAATGAACCATTAAATTAAGGTTTTGTCTTATAATGGAGTGCAGCAGTTATTGACAGCAATGTCTTTAATCTCTATTAGTGTTCACCTTTCTCACTTCCAATGTCTTATCAATGCAGTCCCAGAACACCTCTCAGCCTGCAAAGGAACCTCACAAATGTCAAGTTCGACTCTGAATGCCACTTAATATTAAGTACAACCAGAACAGTGATGACACTGCTTGACTGGTTATAGACATTCACACCAATGTGAGACCACCTATAACACTGTGTTCCAACATAAAGGACTGGTTGCAGTGTCTTCACATTGGGTGACAAAATTTTAGTGAGTGAGGCAGACTCGAGCAAGCCAACTGTTAAGTAAATCCATAAGCGTTGAAACTGATCCAGTGTACAAAGAATTGTCCTATGGAATTTCATCACTGTGACATCCCACAAGTTTCACAGCTGAGGGACAAAATGTTTTTCCTTTCATTCTCTAACATACTGACACCAACATTTATGTACTATAATGAACACATTCAAAAGTCTCACTCCCAAGTAGTGTCAGAATCTGTGACTTTATACTTAAAACAAATTAGTTTATATTCATCAAAATATTACATGTCACATATAATATTAAAATGAAGTTCACTCTGCCGAAATTATTCAGAGCTGTGATATAAGTTTATAATGTTTAAAATATACAGAACTACAATATGTCTCTGAGGGAACTTCTATCATGCACCTTCCACAGATATCACATTAAAATCAAGAAGGCACATCTTTTTTAGAAGTAAAAAAATTAAAGAACTACCAGTATTTTGCCATTCAATGCTACTGCAGCACCCTTTCTATTTGCCTTGGCACACAAATTACACATTGCACTATGTTTGTTTACATGCAGTACATTCTGTGAGGCATGAAATTTGCAATTTTCAGTTTAATCACCTTTTAAAATAACAAATTAGTTCATATTGCAAGAGAACCAGTACATGAACACCTAAACTGCTCCGTAATGAATACAAAGACTTCTACCTAAATGTGAAGTACTGAGGTGTAAACATTATCATAATCCATAAATCATTTTTGACACATGCCATTTTCATCAACTTGATTTTAAATATCAATAATGATAAAATGTCATCAGAGAGTGCATAATCTGCTCTACTGTTCTACAAAATGTTACCATTTTGCTCCCCTCAAACTTTAGGACAAATAAATTTGAGATTCAACTGTGACTTAATCCCATTTGACTCTCCCAATGGCAGCACCTAAATGATTATTGTACTGATCAGATATAAAATTTATCTGGAGGAATGAAATTAAAAAGTAATTCCATAAAAAAAACCATTAATATAAACTTGAAATACAATAATTTCACATTATGATACAGTTTGGAATATAAAGCTGAAGTATTAAATTTCCCTATAATTTGAGAATTTGCATAAAATTTGAGTATTGGAATAAAATACATATCTTCTGAATCAAACAGTAGATAAAAATTAAATGAAAATTGAAATAACAGCAACAACGATAAAATTAAAAATCTCCAACAAAATTCCAAACATTCCTATTACAATGATCAAGATGCTACAGTAATCTGACCAGCCCTTATATCCTTACAGACTTGGGTCTGAAACACTTGCATATAACTTGCAGAATGGATACCAAACAAACAGTGCTTCCATGAACAGCACAATATTTCATGTCTACACTTTTATTTGGTTTCACAAAATATACTGGCATGGGACCCAGTTAATTTCAGTTGGCAGCAACATGAAAACTGAAAATAAATTTCACCCACACAACCGTATGTTTGCCTTGATGAACTGTAAGTCATGCTGTCAGTATGTCGGTCATCAGGTGTTAGTATCTGTAGGAAGACAATCCTACCTCACACTCTCACGTGTTGGCACTTGAGACATATTTTGCAGTAAATCACTGTTTGTTGAAGTATTGCTCCAGTTCAAATGGGGAACCTGTATCTGGTTTCTTGAAATCAACCACAGAATAATTACGAGTTTTTGTCTATACACAGATACAATGAGAGGACTCCTAAGCAGAACCCTAGGAGGAGGAAGCAGAATGTTGGGATGGGGGGCACTTTTTGGGGCTTGAGGTCAGAGTCTTCTCCCGTTCTTTTTCTTCCTCGGTAAAGAAGATTCTTGTTATCACAATATCGCCTGTTGAAAGCGTTTGACATGCCACATCAGCCTGTCCACCAGAACTAGTAACAAGAGACCTGGGACTACCAACACCTGAAAAAATATGCTAGAAGAAAAAGCTTGCCACTTAAATGGTACACCTATTTGTGTTACAACATGCTTTCATTTTCCTGGAACTACTTGCTCTAGTCATGAAAAATCTCAATCTACTGATTATCACGTGAATGCTTTCTTTCGCAATCTGAAAAGCATAATGCAGAGGAAACTTGAATATACTCATTTTAACACCATGATGTCTACTAACCTCCTTCCTTTGTACTGATGTTGATGTGACAATGGCATGCACAACATGGAGGGTTGCTCTCTGTGCCACCATCTCCACCAGGTGGAGCCGTTATCACAGATAAAATTGCTTCCAGCCGTTCAATCTTATCAAGCCTTTCCATTCGCCCATCTGAAAGTATCTCATCTAACAACTGCATTGATTCAGTTAAAGACAAGGGCTCAGAGATGGGCGTTCGAGGTGATGTCAGTCCACCTGCAATATGACAGCACACTATAAACACATCAGGAAAGAATTTTAAAACTTCCTTATGTTTGGTATTTGACCACATTATGATTAGTAATAGGCTGCCACTTCCTAAGTTTCAGTTTCTAACCCAAGAGACAAAAGCCTTTTAAAACTAGGGATCATACACAAGCACTGAACAGGACAATAAAATGGGGTTCTGAAATTATTTTCCTTGTGAAAATTCAACACAATCATAAGCGATACCCAACAGTGATGCTGGACTAAGTTATAATAGAAGCAAGCACTGAAGTTTTAGTTCTATGACTACATAACTGTCTTATTTTTCAACTAGTAAGAAAGCTAGTAGAAAACATGGCTCTTTCTTGAAATGATACTAGAAAGCATGTCTATACGAATGACAGTTCTTAATATGAATTCACAGCTAAATTACATACAGACAGAAGCATTCTGAAAGATGTGGGGCAACCGCCCACATTCAAGCAAACGTTATAGTAACAACACAAGTATCATTGCTTGGCAACGAAACAATCACTGCTAGGTAAAGTATATAACAATGTGTGCCTGAGGGAACCACCCACAGTGGACTGAGTGCTAGCCAATCACAAGCTAGGAACCATTCGCTGCTTAGCAGTGACTGAGTAAACAGTCGGTGCTAAGCAATATGTACTTGTGCTCTCACTGTAACATTTGTTTAAACGTGGGCAGTTCCCACAGATGAAACAAAAGTCAAAGAATAAAAAGCCTAGAAGAAATGGATGTTCCGTGGAGTCGCAGATTACGTGAGCATTACATTCTTAAGATGGCACACAAACCAAAAAATCATGTATAGTCAGAATTAGCCCTCAAAAACCCTTAAACTGCACAAGAAGTAAAAGCTTTTGTATATACCCTGTAATGTGTATGTATATAATAAAGAATACACATATTAGTAAAATACTGACATGAGAGCTGAAAGCCAGAATAGTTTAACAAGAGGAAGCAGCCACTGCTAGGCAATGGTAGGGTAAAAGCACTTCCGCAGCAACAAATCAGCACACAACAACACAGACCTGTTCAAAGCATTGTTTTGTGTGTTGTCCGTGTGGAGGCTATACAGCGAGAACTAATGGGAAAAGTTAGTCAGTTGGAGATTGGAGTCAGCACTTAGCAGTCATGAGTTGCGAGTGAACAGTGCCAGTTTTAGGCTGTGAGGAATTTATATTGTTAGCTGCCGCTACCCAGCAAAGACTAGTGACAATAAAAAACACAAAACTTTGTGTGTGTTATAGTTGTAGAGACTTACAGAGTGTGTAGATTAGTAAGACTGTTATAATCATTTGTAGTCATGAGTTATAAGTGTCCGATATATCCAATCATCAGTCCAAATCCCAAGTCGAGTCACTAACATGTAACAATATATAGTAATTTTATTTCTAATTGTACACAAAAAACGGAGCATGAGAGAGACCAATGAATGACAAAATAAAAATAAAAATAGTAAACTTGAACAATATGCATTCATCTGTACAGGGGTCCAAAGAAATGTACTTACTCTTTGATAGTCAATATCTTTGGAACAAAATGACATGTACAAGGGGGTACCCAAAAGAAACCGAACTTATTTTTTTTAAACTTATTTATTCAAATTTTAAGCACAAACCTTCAATCCCCTTCAAAATACTCTCCACTTACACTAATACACTTGTTTGTCTTTTATTCCATTTTTCAAAACATCCTCAAAATTCATTTTTTGAGATGCTTGACAGCGTTTTTTCCTTCACATCAGCAAAACGCTTTCCTTTCATGTCTCTTTTCATTCGAGGAAACAAAAAAAAAGTCGGGACTCTTCTTTCAAAGCACAGCATGCTTCCACATGACCTTGTTTTTGTTCAGCAGTCAGCAGTTGTGGCACGAATTTCGCAACCACCCTTTTCATTACCAAATCTTCTGTCAAAATTTGCTGAACTGAGCTCCAAGTCACTCCCGACAGCTCCACAATTTCTTCAATGGTCCACCGTCGATCTTCCTTGATGATTTCACGAATTTTTTCAACATTTTCATGTGTTCGGGCCATGGAAGGATGACCAGAACGAGGTTTGTCATCAATTGACATTTCACCATTTTGAAACGGAAAAACCACTCAAACACTTGAGTTTTCGCCATAGCATCGTCCTTGTATGCCGTTTTTAACATTTCAAGAGTTTCTGTTCCACTTTTCCCGAGCAAAAAGCAGAATTTCACCACCGCACACTGTTCACGAAAATCAGCCATTGCAAAAATGACGATCACACAAAACAGTTGTCACTATAAACTCTGCCGAAACTAGCCCTTACCTTCTGAAGCAACGGTAATCGGCTTATCGACACAGGAATGTTAGCTCTATGCGCTCATAGCGGCAAAACACGGTACTACAAAAGCTCTGCCCACAAAAAATTAGTTCTGTTTCTTTTGGGTACCCCATCATTGTTACAATTCTTGCACAGTAGTGTAGTGTAATGTTTTCTCAACAGATGGTGAAAGTCACATGAGTCACGTGAGTGTTGTGCCGCGTGTGCGCTGCAAGCAATAACCGCACAAATAAATTTGTGCGGTTTGATTGGTCCTTTCTTCTTTGAACGTACCATAACTGATCAGGTGTACCTCGATATGCTTCAGACATCGATTTTCCCTGCCATCTGAGAGCTGTTTGGAGATGAGAGATGTCTGGGCATACTTGGATGACACTCTACTTAGATGATGGATAGGTTGAAGAGGTGCTACTGAGTACCAACCACGGTCTCCAGACCTAACACCTCTCGACTTCTACCTATGGGGAACCCTGAAGGATGAAGTTTATTGACAAAAGCAAGCTACACTGAACGCTACGAGAAACCATCGAAGCATCGTGTGCAGCCATCGCACCAGACACACTGACAGCCATAGTTCGCTCAGCAGTTCAGCGGCATCAACGCTGTTTAGCCACTGATGGTGGTCACTTCAAACACATACAATGACTCTCTCTCTCTCTCTCTCTCTCTCTGTGTGCAAGAATTGTAACTACATGTCATTTTGTTCCAAAGATACTATCAAAGATGATGTACATTTTTTTTGGACCCCTCTGTATATTCTGATGATTAGTCATCTGAGTAGCATGGCACACAGAGTCATCCGTGCTATTTTAATTCTTATTTACTTTATTTATTTTATTTTTTTTTTTTGATGAGCATGCATATGGTTGAATTTGTGTAAGTTAAATTTTCATACAATCTCACTCCATTGTAAAGCCAACAGTGTATGACCCTCAATGGCTCACTGCCTTGTTAAAAGTGCTGTATATGTTAATGAACCTCCCAGTTTTGCCAAAACATTCTGTATCTCTGTGGATGATCAAATTCTTCTGCACTACAAGCAAGTTCCCAAGTTCACATTTTTACAGCAAAAGTTACATACAGAGTGGCACACAAAATGATCCAGTATTTGATATGTTAATAAAATAGTTATTTCAATTACAATACTAGAAACTAACACACAAAAAGAAAGACCACTGCATGGAGATTTATCCTCTGTGAATCAAGTGTTCAACATGACCCCCATTACATCTGGCAACTTCTTCAACACATAGTGTGATGTTCTTGATTACTCGACGGCATACATCCTCAGTTATCTCTTTGCGGACGTGAATGATTAGTGCCCTCAGTCCTATTACTGTCTGTGGCTTCTTCAGAAAAGTCTTTTCTTTAATGAATCCCAAAAGAAAGAAGTCACATGGGTTCAAATGAGGACTATTTGGGGGCCAGTTCTGTCCACATGCGAAATGATCAGGAAGTCGGTTTGAGATGTCACGCAAGTTGAAAGAGTAATGCAGAAAGTCAAAAATAACATTCGCTGTGCAAAGTCTGACTCCATCCTGCATGAATCATTGAGTTTATATAGCAAATCTGTAGCAAGAAGGTGAGGCTCAAAAATATTATGTGTGTTAAAACAGTGCTCACTCTTCACTGTCAAACAAACTGTGGTTTCAGTCTGCAAGCAAACTATAGCGACTGAGCGACTGCCGCTTTTCAGCGAAGTTAGTGCCAACTTTAGCAGAAAGAGGGTGTCGCGTGGTCAGTGCAATGAATCCCCATGGCTGTTAATCTTGGTTTTCTAGACTGGAGCCGCTATTTCCTTGAAATAGCCCCTCAATTATCCTCATGAGGATGAGTGGACCCCGTTCCAGACCCAATACTTCTCAGAAAATCTGGTAGAGCCAGAAATCGAACCCAACCCTCTGGATCTGCAGCCAGCAACTCTGACCACTGAACCACAGTGGTGATCTCTGTTCACTGACTCTTCACAGAAATTTGGTCCAAGCAGTCCACGACTTGAGATGGCGACCCACACTGTAAATCTCGATGTATCATGCATCTTCTCATGAATCGCACATGGATGCCCTGATGTCCCAAATTGCACACTTTGTTTATTAACCACACCATCAAAGTGGAAGTGTGCCTCATCAGAAAACCAAACACTGTTGAACAATACCTCATTATTCTGAGTTCATGTAACACTGTTATTTATATGGATGCAAATTCAAATCACTTTTCAATATTCATTGCACCAATTGTCTCGATATCCCTAGTTGTGCTGCAGCCTTTCCTGTTGATTTACTATGGCTTCTTCGCAGTGCCATCCTGACAGTGTCAAGGTTGTCCAGAGAAAGTGCAGATGAAGGCCAGTGACATTTCCTCTCCAAAACTGAGCCATCATTATTGAACTGCTTATAAATTTCATGAATTGTTTTGAATGAGAGCGCCCATTGTTTTTAAAAAGTGGGCACGAAACAGCCTCTGTGTGACTACAACACTTTTTGTTTCAGCAAACAACACTGTTTTTATATGACGTTCTACAGACAGTCTTCCTTTGTCAACCATCTTGTGTAAACTTGTGCTTGAGCAGGAACACCGCGATACTAGCGCGCTCAGGAAGAGTAAGAACTAGTCTCCATGATGTACTGTATATGTTATCATGTTACAAAACATCATTCATTGCATGGTTGAATAATTAATACTAAATCAAATTCAGGAACATTTCGTGCACCACCTTGTAGTACTCACCTGACGATGGTGAAGTTTTCCCACTGTCTCCATTACAACCATCAAAATCTTCATCCTCATCTTCATCTTCACTTTTTCCATCTCTGTAGAAATATATATTGGAATTGTCTCTGAAGTGTGCACAGTTTCCACTTATAGCTATACTAAAATTGCTATAGCGATGGGCTACTGACCATGCCATAGCTCAGGTGGTTAGTCACTGACTTCACACAATGGCGGCCCAAGTTTGAGCCCAGGTCAGATCAAGTGGGATTTGTGGTGGACAAAGTGGCATTGGGGCAGGTCTTCTTGGAGTATTTCTGTTTCCCCTGCCAATTCTCATTCCATTGACTGCTCCACATTCATCAACATCTATCGTCTTGGGCTGCTACAATAGGTCAATTAGTGGCCGATGTAGCAAGTGAACTCCAACTCTCACCCCACTCCAAGAAGCTTAAAAGAAAACTATAGTGAAGGGCTACAGGCTGGATTCCCTGCAAGGGAAAGATTTATCTCTTCTCCATAGCATACAGACCTGTTCTGGGGCCCCACTCAGAATCCTACCCAAATGGAACAGGGAGAAATTTCAACAAGAGTAAAGCGTCCAGGTCATGAAGCTGACCACTCACGTCCCTTTAGTGCTGAGGCCAAGAATGGTGGAGCAATACCTCCACTCCCCCAAATCTTCAAGCCATAGTGCTTAATTACTTAAGCACAGGGACATCTTTACCTTTACTCTTTTACTTATAAGCAATGCTTATTTTGTTTTGAATGTGTTTTCTTTATTTTTTTTTAATTCGCTTAGTGGGGGGTGGAGTCCAACTGGGTCCACTTGGCACGGCAGCCAACGATTGGCCTATTGTAGCCTGCCCCAGGTCATTATGATGATGGAGAATTTGGTGGAATGAAGACTGGCAGGGGAAACCGAAGTACTCAGAGAAAACTTGCCCCAGTGCCACTTTGTCCACCACAAATCCCACTTGACTAGACCCAGGATCGGACCTGGGCTGCTGCGGTGGGAAGCCAGTGACTAACCGCTTGAGCTATGGCGTTGCCTTTGAATGTGTTAATTCTAGTGTAAATTCTATTTTACAGCTACAGCATGTTTTAACCCTTTCCTGTCATACGTTGATTGACACTGAGAAATTTCTTCCACAGACACATGTAGATATATGATCGCAAAGTTTCTTTTCCAATTCTCCGATGATAAGTCAGTCATATGTCATTACTTGCCCCTGTATACTATACCAACGCAATCATAAATGTTTAGTCTGCATTCTCCTGCCATCTGGAAGCCATAATTTGAACTACTTGAGGAACAAATGCCATTCATACACTACTGTGTATCAGTTTTAGCAACATGGCTTTGTGTTCTCATACATGTGTGCCTTCTGGCATGAAAAAACTTAAATATAGTGCCTTGTGTGTTGAGACCGGAGAGTCAGTTATTGCTTTGTTAAACAAAGAACTCTATATGGACTTGGAAAATGTAGAAGAAACTGTGAGTGAAGAATCCAGCGATGGAATGTCGGAAAGTGAGAGCGAGAGTGAAACAAGTGTTATGCATGTTGAAGGGAGGGAAGACATGATGATGGGGGACAAGAAACCCAAAGCATACACATTTACTAAAAATGCAAGGCCTCAATTTAACCTTCTACCAGATGAAGATCCCATGAATTATTTTATTTTTTTCAATGATGAGCTTTTGAAGAACATTGTTATAGAGACAAAAAAGTATGCCAGACACAAAATTTCAGAACTTATATCGTAAGAATCAACCGGCCATGTGCCCTGGGGAATGTTTCGAAAGATATCACACTCGCAAGAACTTCAAAAAGTTTTAGTGTAGGTTCTATAGTTTATCGGGTTTTCGTTGTCTGTGTACATAGAAGTGTGACAGTTATAAGAAGATAGGAATATGCATATATTTTATACTAGAGAACAGCAACAATTTTAGACAGTAAAACACTAAAACCTCTCTCCACACTTGATGTCATGCACCACTACACCACTATACTACCACTGTTGTATGAACTTTTTGAGCAAAACAGCTCGCTTAGTGGCTCTGCAGGCATTTAAACTCCCTTGACGACCTGAATGCAGAAATTTTTCCATACACGATGACTGGAAAGGGTTAAATCTTATTTTAAAAACAGATTTCAACACATTACACAAAGTTTAATGTTTACAATAAAACTCCAGTTCTGTACAAAGGCACACAAATCTTGCTTCATGAAATTGGATTTTAAGAAAATGTTACTTTGCTGAGAGTTTAATATAGATCTGAAGCTTTGTTATATTAAACGCGAGATTTAGTTCCTCTCTTAAACTAAGGGGAGAACAGAACTAAAATGTTTCAGAAAAAAGCAATGATAATATTTAGACTCAAGCATGAAAGACACTGTAATGAACTTCATAATTTGTAATTTGTCTGGTACTGACAATAATTAAATTACAGACACTGAGACTGACTGGATATATAGCACTTGAGAGAGAATAAGAAGCACTTAAAGAGTATTTTGGACACAGTATTGCATCACAATGCCCACCATCAGCACATACCAATGATGCCATCAATGTGGCTATGCAAAGAGACCAACAGCAACAATGTTAGAAGCGGGCTGATGAAGGCTCTTGAACTGTCAGGTTAGAAGAGGAAAAACAACAGGCCAAGAAGGGGATTCACACAGGGACATGACAATGTCGCAGGATTACTAAAATATGCTTTTTAAATAGTGAGGAACTCTGAAATAAATTACGAAATAATGAGTCTTTTAATTTTAAGTAGATCTCAGGACTTACTGGGCAAGACTAGAGATGCATAAATTTAGTGGTTACACTAGTAGTTCTAAAGGGTGATGTAAAAATGCATAATACAGCAGAAACCGAGAAATCATGCTGGTTTCTTCAAAGCAAGTTTGCTACATGATTAAAGCTGATTTATTCCTTGGCTTGTTCTTCGACACTGATGATGGCGGCAACAACTGCCCCCAAAACATTCGTTGATTTTCAGCAGACTACACAGCATTATATTCCAAAAGAAAGACCTCTTTACAACCACAACTGTGACAACCTCAAATTCTACATTGTACCAAGGAGTTACTCTACAGCCAACAAAACGGTTATTGTTCTGTAGCAAGACTAGTGCAGACATGAAAAATATGCATTGTCAACAGAGAATAATTCTTGCCCTCAGCAGGTTCCAATTTACAGAAAACGTTACCACATTCAGCTTATCTACAAAGCAGAATTCCTATGGCGACTTAGACACGTCTTGCCTTGCCTCCATTTCTAACTTCTAAAGCAGTATGGGTTTCCCAGTGGATTCATATCAAAATCGGTACCACTGCAAACAATTAGGTGCTATGTTCTTGCAGTCTGGGGGGCAGGATTCATGCCACATGAGAGCCACTTCATAAACAGATCTGAAGTTTCATATATCACATAGTTCAGTACATGCCTGTCCTGCAGGTTCTCCAATTTCTCCAATTTCCTTGCTACTTTGTATGAACCCTTTAGCTTCTCTTTTTCCTCTTCTGTTAAATCGAGGTACCTGTAACATAATGTGAAATTAATCAGACACTCTGTTTTAAGGTGTACAACTTAGCTCACATTCTGCAAATCATAAATTTATGAGAAAGATGTGGAGCCAATAAATGTTAACCCTGTTTTGTTATGCCTGAAAAATGAGAAGGAAAATGCTGCATGCAAACATAACCCGAAATCACTGCAAAGTTTCACGCCCAGTACCAACTGCCTACATCTAATCTTACATCCCACTATCATTCTTTTGTCAACCTCTCATGATATTAGCACTGATTAGTTTTTACAGCCTCACGTGCAACATTACATTCTATGAAACTGATTAAAATCATTCACTTTAAAAGTTTAAAAGTACATCGCTACATGTTTCGACCAATCTTGTCATCATCAGGTGTCAAAATTATTGGGTGAGGAAACTGCTGCCTTCCATTGTTAAATATACAAGTCCTTTTGATGTACATATGTTTGAGTTGAGTTTGAGAACTTGTATATTTACCAACATAAGCAAAACAGAAGACAGCGTTTTCCTCGCCCAATAATTTTAACACCTGATGATGACTACATTGGTCGAATATGTAGTGATGGGCTTTCAAACTTTTAAAGTGAGTAACTTTTAATAATGTTATATTTTAGCATCCTGTTGCACTGATTTATGTCCATGATTTATTCTGTCTTACAGTGCATACATTTATTCACATTTATAACACATGCAGTCACAGGAGCAAGACACACCACAAAGCACAGATACACACATGAAAGCAGGAAGAACACTCAGATAGAAGAAAATAGGTGTGACTCGCGTATTGAGATACGACATAAGGATGACAAATCCTGAACAGTTTTAATATTTAAAATTTATCATCATATATGACGAATATATATTTTAGTCATTTTAGTATAAAAACAACAGGGCATGCAATGAAGTAGTTCGACGTACATAGAAAAGCACCTGAAGATGGCACTTTAGTGCTGAAACATGTAGTGCAAGAGAGAAGAGTAAGGTGAATAAATGTATGCACTGTAAGACGGTCAGAATAAATCATGGACAACTTTTAATACATTTTATAGAAGATAGGATTGCACATAAGACTCAAAAAAAATTATCGACACTAAGCAAAAAGCGCAACAGAATGATACAATATAATATTCTGAAACTCTCATAATATGTTCCCACCCTCTCTTTTTGCACACTCTGGTACTTTAGTCCATTGTAGTAACATACGAGGGGGACCCAAAAATAACTGGAATTTATTTTTGTTATTTTTTATTTTTGCATTTTTATTGAACTGTATATTAGTCCCCTTCAAAGTATTGTCCATGTGCATTAATGCACTTGTCCCAACGCTTTTGCCACTGCTCAAAACAGTGCTGGAATTCTTGAGGCTGGATACTGTTCAAAGCCTTTAGC